TACTATATAGGTCACCTATATACACCACGTATTTCTCTATATATTTTACACAAAAATATCCATTAAGCGCTCAGATATGGAAGTTAAAAACGAATGTCGTAGATAAAACAATAACCCGATATTCATGCTTCAGTTGTCTATCGATTAAAGGTAAATACGTATCGTAGGAACGAATTTACTTTGTATACGCATCTTATCGATAAAAATAAAAAAGAAGTTAGCACTTCTTCGCATATGTATTAGGCAGTGAGAGGCGAAAAAAAAGAGCAGTATAGATTTTCATAATTACATATAGAATTATACGCCGAAGGTAATCGCTATATGTTCTACGTTCGAGTTCGACGAAGTTATATTTTAGGTTATGCGGCGAAAATGTCGACAAATAATATTGCGAAGTATTACGTTCGACCGTGATAATTCGATATTTCGTAAATATTAATCACGAAAGCAGCGATCTAATACGAAGTAGAATGCGGATCTGAAAATTACGGTTAAATCGTAAAAAGAAATCTATTTGTTTCGTAAATATTATAATTATATCACGAATAGTCACGGGGACGCGGTCAGAGATTGATTCGGTTTCGAATCCCATAAAGAAAGTAGTATATCTGCGACAACTGATCGAAGGTTGGGTACAAGAACGTATAAGGAATACGGGGAACTGGCGCAATGGTGAGAGACCGCGAAAATCAATAGTGAGGTATACCGTGTAACGGTTGATTGTCGAACGCTACACAACTACATCATGAGAGAAAGTACCGAACCATCCGAGAAAGAAAATCCGATGATAAGAATTACGTGGAATCATCGATTTCTCATAGTCATTTCGGTTCCAAGAACATTTTATCAGACGACAAATATAAAACCGAAAGTAGGGCAATGTTTTGTGCTTTCACTATAGCCATTGTAGCGACACCGACCAAAATTTTCTAGACATAAAAGTGCTATAAAACCGGACGTTACGCGTACTGTTACTTATCATATTGTATTCTTTAAGCTTCGCATGAAGTCATATTTCCATGTGAAGAATATTTTACAGACCGTTCTTGGCGAGCAATTCACGCCCAAAGTCGAATTCCGAGAGACGACAGTCGAATGGAAACGGATATTAGAAAAGAGAAGAAAGGAAGAAAATAAATCATTCGCGAACCAATCGGTTGTTAGTAACTTTGTCGGAGCTCGAATTGTAGTTAACAAAGTAAGGGAAGTGCCGATAGCAAATTATCTCGCGTAAGATTCGATAATCTCGAGATAAGATATCTCGAGCCGGCAGAACTCGTCAATTCCTAATTTTCGATGGGAGCGGTTTTGACATCGTTCGATTTGAATATAATCCTTATAAATTATGCCGCCGTATATAGTACATGTAACGACGACGTGCCGCAAGACGACAGACCATTGGCTTACAAAATGTTACTAGTGTCTATTCTCAAAGAAATTACCGATCGATCGTGCGGAATATTTTCGAAACGTTTGTCGCCGACTTGTCCCGGCTCGTGACATCCTCGGGAATTAGAAAAATATGTACGTAGCTATTGGAGGAGGAATGGATCGATAGTCGGTCCATTTCCATGTACCGGCCATTACGAATGTAATATCAAAATAGTGCGTAGGTAAAAAGCATATTTGGTAGAAGACGAGGAACACCGTACGACCGTGGCACCGAAGTTTCAAGCAGAATCGTAACCGTAAGGTAAAAAATGATATTTCCGTAAATGTATATCGGAGTCTGTTGCACGTGCACTCGGCGCGTCAATGCGGCAAACGAAAGCCAAGATGAGGGCGAGGGCGAAGGCGAGGACGAGGGCGAGGGGCCGGCCGCCGAACGACGTCCGTTCGCATAGGCACACGCAAGCAGCACGTACAAACGGAACGAAGGAACGGACTAACGTACGCAAGGCACATGCAGGCGGACACCACCAGGAAACGGAGTTAAACGTACTTACCATTTTGGCTCGTTTTTACGTCTCGGGTAAGCACGGAGATTCGAAATATCGCTTGAGCACTGGACACAAAAGGATACTGTTCACAATTACCCGGACGAACGTGGAGGGAAAGAAAACTCGTGTGCACGAAAGCGCGGACAGACACGCAATACGACACGGCCGACGAGAAACGTACTCGGGACAGCAATGGAGTCCACCGTTCTCTCTCGGTGTACGAGCCTCTCTGCCACTTGCCTCGATCAGGTATCACTACGCCGCCCCTAACGGGCTACACGACGGCGCCTCCCGATTGGTCGGCATCCTAGGCGGGGGTTAAGGGGAGTTCACGCGGCGATGCGCCGCGTCGTTCCCTACGCGGCCGACAGATAGTCCCGTGCGGCTTCCCCTCTGTGAAAACCCTGAAAAAACGACTGGTTTTTAATTGGACAAATGGGAAGAAGTAGGAACGACACGACACCCGATCTACAGAATGCTCGACACGGACAACCGTGCAAATCCGTTTTACATGCGGAGTGGGTGCGGTCGTGTTTACAGGACAAGTCCGGGCGAACTAACCGGGCCTGTGATTGGCCGACGCGCACCTGCAATGCGTCAGGCAGCCGTGCGGACTGTGCCGCCGCCGGCTACCGGGTCAAAGCCGGGCTTCCCTGCGAGAGATGGCTCGGCTCGAATGCAATGAGCGCGTTTTTCGGGCGCGTTTAGCCCTACACCTCTCTTTCTTCGTTTCGCTCATTTTCCCTCTCCATTCCTTGTCTCCCTCTCTTTCATTCTATCTTCTATTCTATCTTCGTCTCTATGCTACTCTCTCTCCTTCTCCATCTTCGTTTAGTACCTTTTCTGCTTCTCTTTCCTCTGTTCGTCTCCCCTCCGTCCTACTCCTAGCGTCGCATCTCTTTTTCTTTCTCTTCGCGGTTCTCGTCTTCTTACATCTCCCTTCGTTTCCTTACGATTTCTAGCTTCTCTACCGTGGCAAACTTCGGCACAATCGTATTCGTATAATACAGATCAGGGGGGAAAGCTGAAATAGCCAATAAAAAAAATGGTGAACAATCCAATAGACGAGCAGAAAGATATTATTACGGTCTATCTATACGGAGGGTGAATAGTCTGGTTAATGGTCACACGTATTCATCTATGTACACTCGGTTTAGACGTAAAGAAAATAATGATTTCATGCTAAAGGTGATGTTACCGACTATCCTCTCTCTCTCTCTCTCTCTCTCTCTCTCTCTCGCTCGCTCTCTTCTGTCTCTCCTCTTTACTCTTTTGTTCGACTAATGTCAGCAACGATATATTCGAATCTTTTTTTCGTTATTAATAGACCACGGAATTTGTGCATTCTTGATAAACGTGATCAAGAAAAAAAAGTCAAAATATCAGTGAAAATAAAAATAAATAAAACACGAACGAACGTGTTCTCGAAAAGCATAATTGAAAAAGCACTTTCTTTACAATTTTTCGAATTTTTCGATATTCTCGACAGAGATCATGCGAAGATTTTGTTTATGTTACATTATTGATTATTTGAGCCGAGAACGCATGAACGTTATGACATAAAAGTTATTATACGTTTCACTATTTTTCTTCAGTCTTGAAAATCATAATAGGCCACAATCATTGTAGGAATGAAAATTGAAATTTCTAACTTATGTTCACCCATTTCTTTACAATCGATAAATTACAAAAGAAAATTGGAATGTCACTGTCATCATTTCAACAAGTTATGTGAACTAAATTATGTTCAACAGTTTCTTAAAGATCGATAACAAAGACAGGGTGAGGCAAGGGGTAGTGTTTCGGGAGCTCTAACATGTACAGAAATGTACAAATTTGTTTGTCGAATCGCAAACGATATTGCGCTTATCTCTTTATTTTGTTCCACACATTTCTGTTCCAACAACGATTATTTAAATTTATAAATATTAATATATAGTGCAATATATATCATTCTTATAATACAAGTTATATATATATATATATATATATATATATATATATATAACTCGTATTATAAGAATTATCGTATAATCGTTCCAACAACGATTATTTAAATTTATAAATATTAATATATAGTATAATATATATAATTCTTATAATACGAGTTATACATATAAGAAGTATTGTATCAAGGTATTCGTATTGGTCGTCTAAGTGCTTCGTTCTCGTTTCTTTCCTTGTTGCCGAATCGAAAACGTAATAGAGACGTTACTGTCAGTAATAACGATAATTATATCGGGTTTGATAAGACGAGTCCATTTGATTGATCGCTTCTTGCTCGGGGTAATACACACTTGTATACAAACTCATGGTGAAATCCTGCGCATTAACGATTACTGTTATCCTTCCTGTCGATTTTCGATTGTAGACAGTTTTTTTTTGACTTGATCGGAATCCTCGCTTAAATGACAGCGGTCGAGGGGGGGGGGGGGACAGAGGAACTCCGGGGCGTTCAGGACATGCGATAGCGACTCTTCTCTCTCTTTCTTTCTCGAGTCTCTACGTTGGTACTTCGTCCGGAGGACGATATTAGGTCACGATGGGCTAATGCTTACGGACTATGTGAAACGTTTTAAAATCGCTTTCACAGTATATCTGGAATAGTTTCGATTAACGCCTAGGCGTCGGGTAACATTCGAACGCATAGCTTTTTCCGGATACAAAATTTCGTTTCTCTTTTTCTTGCTGAATTTACAATTATTTAATACACACAACGAGTCTCGGAGATCGCTCAATTTCTGTAAAATCACGATAATTCGATGCCGAACTCACAAACGAGATCAACGCATTGCTTTGAAATGTTAATTTCAGTCAATCAGTGAAGTATGCCGGTATATGTATAATATATCGAACGAGGCGATATTTCCAGGTTTGATAGAAACAATATGCAATTCCACCGAACGACAGAATAAAATATCAAGTAAAATACAGCGGAGTTCCTTGTACCACACGGAATAAACCAATACGAATTTAGAGGCCTGTAACGTCCACCGGATAATCCGAAAGTGAAACCGCGCGCCATCGCCACCCTCAATTTTTAACACGTATCGCATGAAAACGAAAAACGTTACCAAATTCAGCCTTGGCTCGATAGATGCGGGGAACTTGCCCGAATACAACGATATATGTATGTACAATTATTCGATTACACCGTACCGAATATCTGTGAATGTTTGAAAATTGTACGACGAATGGTATTTTCGTCGGAATATTTTCATATTTGACGAAAAGTTCTTTGCCGTGCACGGGTCTCGCTGCACGGTATCGGGTTCTTTAGACGTTCCAGGTGGAGAGACCATTGAAAAAAATTGTCGGAACGGATTATATTTCGAGCAGGTCAAGAAAATATCCGTCAAAGAAATGTGCGGCGATGTCTTGCCGCCACGCACGCCATCATTCGCCTGGCACGATTTGTCAGGGCCGCAGCAGCTACCCCTAATCGACGCCGGCGTTACTGTCAAATAAATGTTTATTTTTTTGCGTGAACAATGTTCGATCGTGTTCGCCGAAAAAATGACCGGTTTTTAAAGAACCAAGCTTGACGAAGCAAGGATCACCCGGCGGACGTTGCGAGTCGTACGAAAGCTCTTCGCCGGTGAATCGGCGATATTCGCGGATCGAAGGTCGGTCGATGATTTTTCGATGAAATGATCGGGATATTATCGGTGATTTTACCCGATAGAAAATATTTAGGTAGCCTGTATTTCGTGTGAACCACCCCTTGCATTTACCGCAGAAGCAGAGCGGCGGTTTCAATGTCCTTTCACCGAATCGGTCGATATTTTCTTAAATAAAAATAATGCGCGTACGCGCTCGCACGACTATAGAATATGATGTGTTTTAACGAATAGTATATCGCCTCCGGTGAATATACTATATAATATAATAATATAGTATAATATATAGTATAATAATATAGTATAATATAGTATATAGTATATAGTATCTGTCTCTTATACACATCTAGATGTGTATAAGAGACAGACTATATACTATATATATACTATTATACTATATTATTATACTATATACTATATATATACTATTATACTATATTATTATACTATATACTATATATATACTATTATACTATATTATTATACTATATACTATATATATACTATTATACTATATTATTATACTATATACTATATATATACTATTATACTATATTATTATACTATATACTATATATATACTATTATACTATATTATTATACTATATACTATATATATACTATTATACTATATTATTATACTATATACTATATATATACTATTATACTATATTATTATACTATATACTATATATATACTATTATACTATATTATTATACTATATACTATATATATACTATTATACTATATTATTATACTATATACTATATATATACTATTATACTATATTATTATACTATATACTATATATATACTATTATACTATATTATTATACTATATACTATATATACACTATCTGTCTCTTATACACATCTAGATGTGTATAAGAGACAGGTATAATATAGTATATAGTATATAGTATAATAATATAGTATAATAGTATATATATAGTATATAGTATAATAGTGTATATATAGTATATAGTATAATAGTATATATATAGTATCTAGTATAATAGTATATATATATATATAGTATATAGTATAATAAAATAATATAGAATAATATGAATATACGGTAAAACACACCGACATACACGCGACTATCTAACAATATTTGATCATAATTTGAGTACAGACTACTATTTCGAAGATAACAATGCGGTAACATTAATCGTAGATAAATCAATCAGTCGTTGTTACTTAATTCTTAAAGCCGCAATTATTTCGCGTGTGAATGTGCACGATTTTCTCTCTTTTATCGGTTCACCCTTAAGATCGCGTCGACATAATTATCATCTTTGGCGCGTCGCGAACAAAGTTACAATGAGAAGCGTTAATTAACGTAAATTGTTCTGTAAACGATTGTTGACTTTTTAATGTCGGAGAAACGAAAAAATAGCCTCATTCTGCCGAATTCTATTAAAACATTCCGCGTCGCGTGAGCGACGCAGCTTGGAAGAAAAAAATGTAAATGGATCTCGTTCGTTCTATTCCGCCTTCAAATGCAAACGTAACACCGACAATTAGTTTATATGAAACGCTTCCTTTTCCCTACATGTATACAGAGAGTCGCGGCGGATTCGTCATTCACATTTTTGTCCACGTCATACGCTAAACA